AAAGCCTGCCCCGTAACTGCATGAAGCTTTGGGGGGAAATCCAGACACAAACCATAACAGGGAAGGTCCTTTACTGCTTTTTCTAGATTCTGCCAGCACTAGACATTCCTTATTCTGTGGCAGTATAGTCCAATTTCTGCCTCTATCTTCTTATGACCATCTTTCCTTTGTGTCTGTTTCTGTGTACAAGTTTTCTTAAAACATTATTAGTCATTTTGGATTGAGGACTCATTCTCTTCTGATATGATGTAATCTTAATTTAAGTAATTATATAAATAATTCCATTTCTACTTGAGATTACATTCTGAAGTACTGTGAATTAGGACTTCAGCATGTCTTATTTGACGGCAAAATTCATAACTCATAACAATGGCTTTAGAGAGAACAGAGGATACTGAGGATAAGCATAATGCAGTCCATTTGGAAAGGTAAAATTTAGTTCATTTGGGAAGGTGACATTTTCATAAATGTAAACTTACCCAAATTAGGATTTGCTAGCGGTGCAAATAGAGTGAGAAACTCTTTTCTGTAGTACATGGAGACATTTTACATTTTCCTTCCCTCTTTGGATTCAGAGCACCAACGATGGAGTTAGGAAGACTCTATAATCTAAAAGCACAGAACTAGTTCAAGGTAAAAAATTCTTACCAATGACAATTGTACTGGAAACTATGCATATTAATATACCATCTGGATATAGATTTTTCAAAGGAAAAATCACAAACATGGAGCCCAAATAACATGTATCTGTTGAATCTGACTATTAAGATGAGAATATTCAGGCAGATAAAACCTTGTTTGCTATGAGTACCGTCATAAAGATTCTGTGCCTGGTCTCCATAACCAACACTGCAAAATCAAAGGCAGGGTCGGGGGCAGTAGAATCAAGTAACACCAAGTAGACATACAGGAAGAATCTTCTTTAGATAGTGATCTATATCCACTTTAAGGTCCAAGATCAAATGTCTGCAGAAGTTTGGTGTTGCAAACAGATTTACAGGCATTACCACTCAAAAAAAACTTGCGTTTCTGAAATGACAGCACATTGACAATCTGGATCAGAATTAGTTTCTGTGTTAAAGCCATATTTCATACTTATGTTATTATACAAGAATTTTAAGAGCAAAACAGGAAGACTGCTATTTAATGAGATCCTGGGTGACCCTTACACAACATTCAAATACCAAATGAACAGAATGAGAGGGAAAGGAAAAAAAATAACACAAATCAAAATGAATATGATAGTGTAAGGGAAAATTGATGATAATTGCAGCAAGAAAATCTCCATAATAATTAAAGTTACAGAGTGCAAAATCGAAGAGTTTCTATTTTTGTATTTGATAGTATTAGAATAGTTTAAAGAAGATAGCATATGTATCTTGTTTGACTATAGAGGAAAAACTCCTGAAAAATATAGGAAAAGAAATCTAGGGGTAAATTATCTGAATAGCTTACTATCACAAAGTCAAAACAAATTCTTATAAGATAAAAACAATTGCATAATAAAAAGACTTAAATCACCAATTCAAGTAGTCAAAAGAATGACAATATACCACCAGCTTGATATATCAAGATAGCTTTTTAAATAATATTCACCCCTATTTGATACATATTTCAGTAAAATATACATATTATTGCAATCCAGAGTCAACAGTGTAATTAATGTTAAAGTAGTAGAGATATCTTCTTATTAGTAAGGCATGCCAGTTTTTTTTTTTTTTAACATTTTCCCCAAGGATGCTTGTCAGTGAAATAAGATAAGAGCATTAAAATATAAATTGAAGTAGTAGAGAATATTTTAGATGGTATGATTACCTACCTAAAAAGCCAGGTACAACATATAAGGAATTTTAACATAATTGCCATTTACAGTATCAAAATAAAAGTTAAAGGTCAGAACAAACAAAATTAGGAACCCAAGTTATAAAATATGCAGAAGTAAATGTCACAAAGAATGTGTATAATGTAGTAATAATATAATAATGATGACTCATATAAAAGTAACAATGTTTAACAGTGACATTTTACTAGAAGATATCACTTAATGATCGCAGTTGCAATTTACTTTTATTAAATATAACCGCTGTCACTATGTTAGGGTATGTGTGACAAAATGAATATAAATTTTATCTTTGCAAAAAGCATATAGTAAAAATGACATTTTAAGAAGTGATTCAGATAGATATGCCCTAATGTATTATTCAAAACTATCTGTCTGAAGAGTGTCTAAAAAGAGTATACTGACATGATCTAGTAGATAGAGATATGTTCAAGATCATGATGGAAAGAGAGAAGTTAAAGAGGGGCATCACGGAGGAAATGAGAAGGCAGGAAGAAGAGAGGGGAGGGAGGGGAAAGGGAATGAAGGAAGGAGAAAGGGAAGAGAAAGGAAAGGCAGGTACCTTTGGATCTGGAAAAGGAAATACTGTGGACATATTTAAAATTAGCTAAAATCATAAAAAAAGGAGGAGGACAATCATTAAACTGCACTAAAATCCCAGAGTTATATAGAACTGTTTAGCGCTGGGGAAAGTCCCCAAAGTGTACACTACCACCAACATGCCTTTGTTCTGGTACAAGTTGTCATTATATTAAATAAATAACATAGATGTTACACCTAAGTGGTGCTGTCCTGTACCTAAGATAATGGATCACAAATGCTGCACTTGTTTTTCATTTGTTTGCTTTTAACTTTAACCTTAAAAAGCATTTGTATAAATGTATGCTTTAATATTAGCCACATCCACAGGGACAGTATTCAGTCACTGAGGTCTCTAGATTGAGAGATTACTTCGCATAATTTTATTAGATAGAGCATCAGAAGTTATTAAACCAGAAGTTATTATTTACACTGTGCGAAATTGTCTTTACTCCCAGGAAAAACAAGAAGGGTGATTTTCAGCCTGTTAGTCTTTGGCACATTTGGAGAATTCTCCACTTCACAATGATGACATTTCTAAGTTGATTAATTCTCATTCATAATTCTAGTACTCTTTTGTGTTAGTTGTTTTTTTTTTCAGTGAGAATCACATTACGAGTCATTCTACTATAATAATGTTGGTCACCTCAATATTTAAAGACAGCCATTGGGTGACTGCATTTATCCACGTTTGCAATTCCTTCTACTTTTGCTTAGGTGATGTTTTTCAGATCTCTCTTTATTTTATCTAAACCACTAGATAATCTCACCTTTAAAGTTAAAAAAATATTTATTTGTACCGGAAGTGGATTTTTATAGTCTTATAGATTTGGTCATTCTAGGAAGGAAACCATAACTTTTGCTAAATTACTTGTGAAAGGGCTGTGTGTCTCCTCGGATTTGCTTTTGGATTCATAATATATTTTAAGTAATTTAGCTTGACATTAGTATTTCTGTTACTTTATTTAAAATGAACGGACTTCTCACTTGATAAGCAACAGAAACAGATTCAGTAATGGTTTTCTAGGACGCTGCTGCATTTTGTGTTCACATGCGTGTACGTGGGCTTTTGAAGTAAGCATGTGAGCATGCGAGATGTGAGCATGCACACAGGGTTTACTACAGAAAGGATTTACTGATGGATGCTGTAACTGTTATGATTTCATCCTGGAGAAATTATTAAGTAAAGAACATCTTGCCTTCTAGTTTTTCTTTCCGTTTTACCTATAAGGTGAAGAACCAAGAAAATGAGAAAATGTTGAACAGGAATTAAAATTTTTGACTGGAAATATTTTCAAGGAGGAGAAATAAAATTTAGAAGCCATTCCAGTTTTTTTAAGTTATAAAAGTTAGTTTGTGATGAATAAAATGTCATTTTGTCATTTGTGGAACAAGAGGTTTCTTTTTAACTATTCATAAAGAAGATACTGTAGGACAGTATCATATTGAAATACTTCTCTACTATGTGAGCATCTTCATACATCAATTTTTTTCCTTCTCACCTTATTTTTATACCTTATTTTATACCGTCTTGAAAAATAAATCCAAAAAATGAACTACAAACCTACCTAATGTCTAGACATTCTCTCTTCAATATGCTGTGACATTAGGAAAAATGTAAGTAAACTGTTGTTTGTATTAATATTACAATACTTTCTTAGCTCTTTGTGCAATCCTAATGTGTAACAAATGCTTTTGAAATAAGTTAAGAAACTTGATGCCTATTAACAAACCATCTGCACTGAAAAGCTACTTTTTTTAATGATTTTTGGAAAACATTAATTATACCCTATAAAATGAGACAGTTTTCTAGAATTTGGAGGAAATGCAAATACATATATTAGAATGCTGCTAATTTTCAGATTGTTAGTTTTTTATAATGGATTAAATATATAATCTTTATCCCATTAATTGAGTTGTCTGCTTTATAATCTATCTATGGTAACTTGAACATTCTACTTGCCACTACCATTCCTTTGCTGATCTATATATACTTTAATAAAATTCTGAATAAATAGGAAAAGACGCTTAAATAATCTTGTGTGTAGAGTAAGCTCTAGGTGAATTAAGGGCTTTCAAAAATATAAATTTAGGTTCTCTTGTTTAAGATTCTGATTCAGTAGAGCTGGGATGATGTTTCTGAACATCACGTTTTCAAGTATGCAGTTGATTCTTACAGTGGAAAGATATTTGGAAAACACTGATCCCAAATCTTTCAAAAGATACATATTAAATATTTCTAGTACTGATTTGAATTATCCATACCACTCATTAAATTAATAGAGATTATTCAATTGACTACATATATTTGAACTGAATATATCCCGTAAAGTTAGAAAGTAACTGTTTTTCTCTAAAATATCAGTGTTATATTTTAACTAATTCTCATTTTATGTACCATATAATTCACTCAAAGCATTTTATACATTTAATGGAGTAATTTCCTTTTTTTTCTTATATTACTCTTTAGCCTAACCAGAGAATTGCAAGGTTGGTTTATGTTTATCTTCATAAAGATAAAGATAAAGATAAAGATATAGTTGAACTTACATACATTTGTGTTTTTATTTTCTGTTTGCAGGGTACAAGTTGAATTCTATATGAACGAAAACACATTTAAAGAGAGATTAAAGTTATTTTTCATTAAAAACCAGAGATCAAGTAAGTCATTCCTGTCATACCCCCTCTATTTGTTTGTACATAACTTTACCTCAAAATTCCAGTTGGGCAATAATCTGTAAAATAGTTTTTTATATAGAAGAATAAAGTTGATGTAGGTGTTAGGAAAGTTGCAAAGTTGTTAAAAGCCATATATACACCTAATGGTAGCAATGTTCCTTTACACCTTTAGATTTTCAAATCCCCTATCAGTAAATATACTTCTGCATGGACTATTTGGGTTAGTAGAAACTAAAAAATAATTTAAGTGAGAGATTCACATTTTTAAATAGTGAGGGACATCTAAAATATCATACTTTGATAAGAGCGTCCTCCAAACGCTGGAGATTGATGGATTAAAATGGAAAATACCTTTCTGAGTTGATGAGGGATGAACTCCATGTTTCCCACTCAGAACTAATGATAACACACAGCTTGGGTGCTCAGCAATAACAAATTCTTATTTGTGTCTCACCTGTAGGATTTGAATCAGTAAGTGTAGGGTGAATCCCAAAGTTTAACATCCTTACGATTAATATTATCAGATGAATTTTGGAAACACTGGAACTTCAGGATGTAAAATTGGCATAGTGATTACCTTCTCGAGCCCTTTAAGGTGGAAGTATCTGTGATACTTATTTTCTCACCATGGTACCCAGTGTTTTAAGAAATCTTTTTATAGTAAGACATGACTATTGCTTAAAATGCCCAGAAGATATGAAAAGGTCTACATTACATTTGTGTAGACTTTAAATTCTGTGATTTTTATTCCTGAATAGTCTTGCAGTTTTTTAAATTAAATTGTGCCTCTGTAAGTAGCATTCATAGAGAGATCCCTGACTTATGGGAAATTATTTAAATACTGACTACATGGATTATTTCAATATTAAAGTTACACTGATCAGGTATTAATGATGTACTAACTTTATGGTTAAGGCTGGAAATAATTACTGTTCTTTCAATTTGGTTGTTTTCAATTTCTAAGGAAATCTCATCAATAGATACTACCTAAAATGGCTGCATCATCTGCATGGAAGCTTTCCTCAGTTTCTTTATTAACAATCCTCTTCAGAGCAGAAAAGATGCATGCTTTGATTGAATACTCACCTGACTAAAAAGAAGACCCATTTCTGTAAAGCAAGAATAATTTTATTACTAATCTAGAAGATTATAAAGAAATTAACCTACAAAATATACTTAGCATTTCTGTAGAAAAAGCTAGGAAAAATGACATAATTAAGCACTAACCTTTTCAGTGTTAAAAAAATACTACAGGTACATTCACCCACAGGAGAATTAAACAGAAAGTGACATTTCATTTCCAGATGTTATTAGGTCATAAAGACGGGGAAGCATTTCTCATATTTTTTGAAAGTATATAAATCAAGTAGTACAGGGTAATTGCAGGAAAAAATAATGTTCCCATTAATCAGAGTTTAAGCATATTTTATCAGAACTTAATTCCTCCTCTTTAACATCAGGTATTAAAATCTACACAGTTGTGACTTAAACAATTTAAAAAATATGTAGTGTCCATGGCAGTATTAATTTAACAAAATTATAAGATTTCATTGGGATTTAATCTATTTAATAATATGGTTCATTTGCCAAATGATAATGAGTGTGTGTGTGTGTGTGTGTGTGTGTGTGTGTGTGTGAATGAGAGAAGAAACAGTGTGTTTCTCAGCATAACCTATTATGATTTCTCTTTATATGTATCATCAATATGTAACATAGTGATATAATTAGGACATAATTATATAATGAATACATAACTTGTAATTATATAATTAATATATACCACACTTTCATTATGTAATTAACATTTAAAATATTACATATGATTACATGAATATAATTTCTCTATAACCAACCAAATTTGTACAGTACTGAGACTCTCCAACACCTACTCTGTGAATGTGGAAGAAGTTAGGTTTTCTAGCTAACTAAACTTTGTCTCCTAATTCATGGATACATGTATGCCTAAACTTATAAGCATACTTTAACAGCCTTGACTGGACATAAAATTTATACTTTCTGATTATTCAAACCTATACTCTCAGCATGTAATGTTAATTACCATTTGCAGTTCATGCATTCTACCAAGCTCACTTTTTATTTCAGTCCTCAGGTAATTAAAATTCAGCTACCAAGAATTTCAGTAATTTTAGACAATTATAGTATTGTACTTTCTAACTACAACCTAAGTGCTGTACTTACACATGATATTTTTGACAATCTCTTTTAGTCTTTTGTGAATTAAGTTTAAATGAAAATCAAATTTTTGTTGTTTGTTTAAAGGTCTAAGAATACGCCTGTTCAATTTTTCTCTCAAATTATTAAGCTGCTTATTATACATAATCCGAGTACTACTAGAAAACCCTTCACAAGGAAATGAATGGTAAGGTGTCTTTGTCTAAGCTTCAACAATATTTAAAATTATTTTTTGATTTGTTACATTTTGAGGGATGGTGTATAAAATTCATTTTTTTCCCAAGGGTGTTGGTGTTTGTCTCAGATTGATTATAAACATAATCTTTGTAGGTTCTTTGTAAATATTTCTTTTACTTCTAGTTTGTCTAATGGACTCTGATCCATGGGAATGCTATTGCTTGTCCAAGTGCTGCAAATAATTGTTACTTAAAAATGGGTCAGTCTTTCTGAACACCTGGAAGCCTTTCTGTTTTAGAGTTACATGCACTTCCCAAAGTTTTATCTTTATGCTAACTTTACAAATGTTTTTTCCAGTTATACTGCAGCACATACCCTTGAGTGAAAACTCTTCAGCCAATATTGACATGAATAACTCAGACCTCAAGTTTTGATTTTAGCAATGCAGTTTTTTATCTTTTGAGTGAAATTGCACTGATTTATCAATTTACTTTAAATTTTTTCCATTCATAATTGTGTTGCTTTTATCAAATTATATTCTTCAATATTTATTGACTTCCTTTTAAGCTCTATCTTTTGCTACAAGCAGTAAGGAAGGTGTTAGGTGTGTAACAACATATACAGTGTTTTACCCTATTGATATTCTGGACCCTTGCCCAGCCTTCTAAATTTATAATGATATTTCAAGCATAAAACTAAAATTTGATGATTAACTTCTTGGGGCTGGGGATTTAGCTCAGTGGCACTGAGCCTGCCTGGCAAGCTCAGTGTCGTGAGTTCAATTCTTGGTACTGGAAAAAAAACAAACCAAAAAAAACCAAACTAACTTCTTTACACCTATTTTTCATATGGAAAAAATTCCAGAAATAGTTAAAAAATAAAAGGATGAAAATAAAATGGAAGAGTGAGCTCATAATATGCATTCAAATAAAATGAATTGCATTTTTAGATAGTAAAAATAATTTTGTATTTATTCAAGGATTTGGAGAATAGGTAGAAGTTAGTAAGTAAAATTTTATTCTACATTGTTAGGTTTCATAATCTCTTATAATTTAATGCAATGCATTTATTTATACTTTGTCATATCTTATGGAGTACCTGGCATGTGCCAACCACATTACTGTGAGTGACAACAAAGAGATTTATAGGAACCTTCAGTACCTTGTGGGAATTCTCAATCCATGAAAAGTTTGCTCATTTTGGAGTTATCACTACTTCCTGGGATTAGACTAGCTGCTTTATGTGTGTTATTTTCTTCAGTATGTACTTATTTTATTATTCCCATATTAAATATGGACAAGGGATGGTTTTCTCGTATTTTCCACAGTATTTTGAGACCTTCAGGACTAATCTTGTTATGCCTTTTATCTCTGTTTAATTCAGTCACCACAGGAAGGCATATCATTCCTCCAAATTCCCACTAATATATTCACCTTCTCTGCTTGAATGTCTGAAAGACCTTCCAGGCTCATCAGGTCCAATCAGCTTGTGCATTCTTTGATATCTCAATTGAGCGGCAGCTCCATCTTTCTTTCCAAATTCTGTTCTTCTCATAGCCTTCCTCATTTAAGCTGGTAACAGTTCCATCTGAAGTTTCTTGGGTTGCATGCTTTGGAGTCAGTCTTAACTGCTCTTCTGTCTGTAGTTTATGCAAACACCTTAAAGAATTCTGTCATTTCTACCTTCAGGATACAACCAATGCACAGGCACTTCTCAGCGCCACTTCCCAGCTGCATGCTCGCTTCCCTTGGCTGGATGACTGCCAGAGCCTCTCACTCAGTCCTGTTGGTTCTCCCCTTGCTTCCTTTTAGTGAATTCTTAGCATGTGAGTCCAATCTTGATGCATCTCTGCTCTCAAAGCCGAAGTCTTTGACCATGGCCTATAAGAATTCCTGTCCTCCCTGTAATTTCACTTCCTACGACCCATCCATTCTCTAGTGGCATTGTCTGGTTCATACCAGGTACCCTGCTATCTTGGGGACTTCACACCGGCTTTCACTGCTGCTTGCCATGCTTGTATATCAGATAATATCAGATGTACTTCCTCAGAGCTACCATCAAAGTCATGTTAAATATGCTGCTGAAGATTGTAATCTCAAAAAAAGAAAGAGAAACTTGTAATCTCACAAGACCTCTTTGATTCTTTTTCAGTTTTTACTCCAGGGCCTTTATCTCTTACACATATTTTATATATTTTGCCTGGTTAGTTTTCTGTGTATCCCATGAGTATTAGGTTGAACATGTCTTCATCGTATGGATCGTTGAATTCCCATTGACTGGCATAAAATGATAATGTTATTTGTTAAATGGACGAGTGACCAGATCCTCACGTGAAGTTCCTTGATAGTCTGATCTTTGCTTACCTCACTTCGCTAGCCTCTTACTTCAGCCTTGCTGACCTAGTTAAAGTCGCACATGCTTATTTCACTGGCTCTTAACTCTGGGCTTATTCTTGCATGTAAGTTTTCCATTCATTCCCCGCACAACACCCCTTTTGTTGATTTATTTTGGGGATACTGGGCCCTTGGGATTAGAGTTTCTTGGATAACACTTAATGTAAAACTCTTAGCAGCGTTGCACCCTGCAGACCAGTTCCGATTCTGAGTTAGGACTATCATATCCGTACTGTCTGAACATCTGGACATACATCCCTTGTAACACCCGGACCATTGTATTTGCCTCTGTAGCTTCTATGCTTAGCACAGGACTTGGTGGGTGAGCAAATGCTGAAGTGATGGAACCATGCCCACTAATTAAGGAATCATTTTGGTACAATGAAGATGATTGAAGACCATGGCTTTGAAATGTCAGAGTACATTACATTTTCCTATTCATCATTACAAATGAAACACATAAGAAATCCTTGTATAAATATACCAGAATTGGTTTTAAAACTTGGTAATTTATAAATAAAAGATGCACTAGAGAGACTCACAGATCATAAAATGGTGCTGGAAGAATCCTTTCAAAGAGAAAAGCGCACCAGTGAGTGATAGCAGAGTAAAATTATATTATTTGAAAACATTAAGATGAGTAAAGTTTCCTACAATTAACTTCCATGTAATATTACCAGGAATCTTCAGCCATAATTATAGAGGATATACATTTGACAAATCAGATTACTGTAATTAAAAAACATAACAAACTAACTTATGGCTCCATTTTGAATGCAATGTTCTGTTTAGTTACCATTGTCAATGCAGTCTTGGTTAATGAAAAACAGAAGTGGCCTTTATGGGCACAGGCTCTATTTTAAAATAATGAGTCTAATTCAGCAAAGAGATTTATCTAATTAGAGCTTCTGACATGATAAAGCTGCAGATAATTTTGTGCAGCTTTTCTGTATTTTTAAATTCCTCCCAGGATTAAAAACTGATTGGAAAATGTTGCAGTACGGATAAGCTGAAGAATATGAAACAAATTTTGCTATTAATGTCTAACAAAGTATAAATGGCAAACTCTGATGTGTACCCAGTGTGTAGTAAGTCTTCAAGATTTTAGCAAAGGAAACACCTGAAGCAACCACTTATGAATTACATTGTCATGTGAGACATCAGGATAAGACTCATGGCCTGCTGATGCTTACAGTTTGTTACTCTGTGTTAAAACTCATGCATTCCTTCCCACTTTTAAAATCATTGAGGCGATTATTTGTTTGGAGCATCCCAAAGATGAAGTCAAAGCTAAGAAGCCAATAAACATTGCATTATTTTATAGTATCAGACTTGCATTTAAGATCAATACTTAATATAGTTACTGGTGTGTTCAGATACTATTCAGATTTTAAAGGTATCCCTACTTTAGAATAAAACACATTAAAAAAGAAAATTGAATTTTGATGACATTTAAAAATATTTGATGAACTATAGGGATGATAATGTAGACATTTCCTTCTTTCATATATTTTGGACACTGTAGATTTAGGTAGCACCAAGGCCTCTATATTTAGTCTTGGAATTTAGAAGGATTGTTTGTCTTTACCAAAACTTTTCATTTTGGTCATGTGGACTTTTTGTCCATATGATTGTATCTGTATATACTCACACACACACACACACACACACACACACACACATGCACCACAAAGTCTTCCTATAACATATAAATATAGCATGTATGGAAATCACATACATTTTGTGACTATGTGTTATCCTAAGACCTGGGTTTTTTGTATCCAGTTTTCAGAGAGTGGAAAGCATGAAGAATATGTGTGTACTTTAAAAACACTTAACAAATAAATGACAACTATGGCTTGTAGTTGAATTTTCTACTCAGATAGCACATAAAAATTAGTTGCATCCTCGGGCTTTGATGCTGAGAAATGTAGTCTGGCTATAGATTATTTTCCATGCCTCTGAGGGAGAGAATGAGTGTGACAATGAAGTAAAATTACCTCTAGCACAGTCACGTATGTCTGGTAAAGAGATTATCCCTTGATACAGGTTTCCTCCAACAGTCTGTATTCAGTGTCCTACTCACTTTATGATTGCTTGCCAAGCTGGGGTTAAGTATTTCCAGTTTTTGGAAAATTAAGCTTCTAAAAGTTCTTCCTAATATATTTGCTAGGTTCTATGAGTTTTCAGTATCACAATGGTTTTGTTTTGGGGCATGTTCTAAATATTTTTTGCTCATCTTGAAATGTGGCTCTAGTACTATAACTAACGTTCAAGTTCCTGTTATTTGTTATGGTTAGGGGAGTTGTAGAAAACTGTATATATTATAAAACTTATTTTCATGATAGTGTTGTCCATAAAGTCCCAATAGCTTCTTTTAAATGTTATTTCAAATTTAAATTACCTATAATATCTCTATAAAATATTAAAATAACATTCTAGACCTTTTAGAGACAAGTACCAAAACTGCAGTCCAAAACCCACTTATTTATCTCAAAGTGCCAACACAGCAATTAAACCTGAATACTGAAGTTTTAGTTTAGGAGAAACAATTCATACATTACTGTCTTTTGTCTTAAAAGAAAAAAACAAATGACATGTGTGCCATAGGCTCACCACTGTTCTGGACCAACAAGTAGTCCTCAGTTAGATATAATTAGATCTTAGTAAGTACGTGTTAATTACTAATTTCTCTTCGAAAGTACTCACAAACTTACAGCAACAGAGTTTCTAATTTTCCAGGGATTGCTATTTAATTACTTAAAAGTTTTTATAGCACATTTTTCAACTACAACATCTGAACATATGTTTTTCTTCACTCTGACATACCTTATTTTTTGTGCGATTTCTGAGACATCAAGGAAACATTTTGGGGAGACAGTAAACTCAACAGCCATATTGTTGTCTTGACTGTCACCATTCATCAGTATACTGACCACTCTATGAACTACTATATGTGAGTACTTAGCAAGACCTTATGTTCTTAACAGTGAGTAAAGTTGACATACTATTTGGTGTTATTGAACTTATAATTTTGGAGAAGTCAGTCATTAAAGAAATGGGTTCCAATGAGTACAGTTTCAACTGAGATGAACAGCAAGAGAGTTGCGATGGATGATGTGGCTCAAGGGATGAGTTGACAGCGATGATAAAGGGGAAAACTGAGAAGTTTGTGCTGAATAACAGGATTCAGCTCAGAGTTGTAGAACAAGGGATGAGTGGGTAAAAGTCAGAGTGAGAGTCATAGAAAGGATCCTGTTCTCTGCAAATAAGTGTAAGAATGCCAGGTCAAAGAGATTTTTGTTTTGTTTTGTTTTGTTCTGTTTTTTGTCCTAAAATAAGTGCAGCATGAACTTACAGTGCAGTGATATGATCTAAAATGCATTTTGGTAAAAAAACAGTGTCATTGTAATTCAGAAAAAAATGTAGCAGATAAAAGAGGTACAGGGTCCTCATTTGTAATTTTTGATAAAAAGTCCAATTTCAAATAAAGGAGCTTGGAGGAAGGTGGTTTTGGTGATAAGAAGTACACGCTAATTGGGAAGAGCTCAAAAAAGTTTGTGTCAAGGACTTACAGATGTATTAGGGCATTATCTAAAATGTTGCTCAAGCTTTTGTGTAACCAGACACAATGGATTTGGTGTCACTGAGATGTGAAAAAAAGTGAAGGAAGATCAGTTTGGAGAGGAAAAGTTTGGGTTTGAACCAATTAAAGATATTATTTAATCAGATGTGACATTCTGGAACTTCAGGGTGCTTTAGTCTAATACACTATAATGTGTCTTTAAATGTTCTTTTAAAGTTTTATTATTTTTAAAACAAAAAAAATTGAAGGTTTTTTTTGTCCTTTGTTATTGACATATAAAATATTACTTATGCTGTGAAAACAAACTTTATGGGACTCTATATTTTGTAACTACAATTAGTGAGTGGCTTTTGTTTGGGGGAGTTTTATTTACTTTTATGTGGAAGGAAAATGCAACAATTTTCACCCTTTTTGTGAATAGGGTATATTGCCTATTAATGATTACCATTTGAATCAAATATATTTATAATTATTGGAAAATTAAAGTACTTACAGTTTTCTTAATTTATACTTTTGATTTTGTAGTACTAAAATCTTCACATGTTTAAAAACTTTTAAAACATTAGACTCTACAGTTGCTCATTAGTGTACATTTCATTGGAGAATTGGCTAGTACACGGTTTGATGTTTTTCTGCATTAGCATATATCATTTTAAACTAATGGGTGATTTGATTTTTATTTATCATTAACAGTGACAAAAATTAAATTATAAAGTGTTTCTTAAATTATAAAAGATATTTATAAATGGATTTTACTCAAATAGAAAGCTGAAAAATAGTTTTCCTGTTTAATTTATATGTGTTATTATTTTTATGCTCTCCTTATTTTAGTACTTCAAACTTGAATTTTAAAAGTGAATGAATTTTTCACATTTCTATAAAACTAACATGTTTATCATTCCTTTCCTAGGTCTCACATATTTTGGGTGAACAGAAGTCTACCTTTATGGGGCTTACAGGTTATGTATGATTTTGTTTGATCCCTATATTTCTGGGATTATTCATATTATGTAGAGATAATATTGATGAGAAAAGTGTTCATACCCAAAATGAGATCGCCTTAATACTACTTAATCTTTATGCATATCTTATGCTAACATTTTGTTTCTTTCTTCACATTTGCTCAAGCCCTGAATTTTACTTTTTGGGAATTTTCTGGTCACCAGGATTAAATTGCAGATAGTGTTTGAGAAAGAGGAATAAAATACACTAGTGTTTTAAGGCTGTATATTTTCCCAAGCTACCTTGTATGTTCCAGCTTATTATTCCTTTGAAATTTTTCAAAATCTCATAATCATGTTTACGTTTTACCTTTTGTCCTCATTAGAGCATGGTGGAATCTCAAAAAATTGTTAAATGAGCAAATGACTTGTAATGTCAGTCATAACAGCTTATTTCCTAAGTAGGTAATAAATAAAATAAAAATGTGTTCTGCCATAAAGGAATTCTGAAGAAAAGAGTAAGAACATAGGACAGAGAAGAATACATCTGTATTCTACTGCTAAGGGATTCCCTAGCATTCTCTTTACTTCCTCCTTGCTATTTTTTTCTATTGCATTTCATTCCCAGCACACTTGTAAGAAGGTGTCCTCTCTTCTACTTCAGTTTACTATGTATAGATTTTTTTATTTTATTTATTTTTTAAAGTACAAATTAACTGAAAGAATATAATCTTTTGAGGAATATGAATGATCTTCACAACACTTTTAGATCAAATGTTTGGTCTGTCTTATAATGTTACGATCATTGTACAGCTTGCACTTTTTTTATTTTAAAGAGAAAAAAACCAATAACCAAATAACAACAGCAATGCATTATTTACGTACTCACTGAGATCATAGCTATGAAACCAAGTTTTTACTATGTCTGGCTATTTCATACTTTGTTGAAGTCAAGTTTTCTTTCATGTTCATTTATACTTTTGTTTCAATTCTATATTAATATACAACCTTTTTCACATATTTAAGAGTTCATGAAAAGTGTCTTTTAATCTCTGAGCTATATTCATTAATAAATTAATAGTTTACTGTTACTTATTGCTGTCTTGATATATACTTTCCTCTAATTGTATTGCTTTCATTTAATAATAATACTTTAAAATAGCATTCTGTTCCAAATATTACTTTGAATAATATGCTGAAAAGGTTCCAGGGTTAATCTAGTAAGATGTACCTCTAATAAACATGTTGGCTGAGTATAATCTAGGGAATATGTACAGAAAAGCAAAGAGATTTGTGTCCTATCATACTAATGCCTAACTACTGAATACATTTCTGAAAATAATTTACCTATCTTGATGTGCACACATCTGTTTTTACTTTTAATAATCACTTAAATTCAAAGTTTTTATTCCTATAAGAGACAAAATTTAAAATTCTGGGGTATCTATCTTTTATCACTGAGATTGCTCTAAAATAGTGGTAGTGAACATATGGCATGCATATTGTTTTTCTTTAAAGAGAAAAGATGTTAATGCGTGGGTTGTTTAATTCTACTGTTGCCGTTGTGAGTAGAAATACTTGGGTTCTGCGTTGCAATTTGGCCTCCTGTGTCTACAGGGTTCGCCATCAGTGCCCTAGATTTCATAAATTATGTAAAAAATATTTATTTGAGTTTAGAATGCATCAATTTTCCCATAGATGACAGAGTTGATCCTTTTTAATGGTAGAGTAATACTCCCTTGTTATCAATATCAAATTGTCTTAACTTTTGTGGAATATGTCAGACACACAAGCTTTAAAATCATGTGGTTTCTCTTTTATAAGAAACAAAATAAAAGACAGGTAACATAAAAGAGGGGGATAGATCTTTTGGCAGATAGCAAAGGGATTCAGAGATGAAGAGAGGGTAAGAAGGCAAGATGTAATAAGATGTAATAAGAAATAAGATGTGTATGTATCAGTTCCTCACAGTGAATGCCTTTATGATGTACTACAAATATAGACTAATAAAAAAGCATTCATTTGAGCCATTTTCTATTTATGTTCGCCTATTTGTTTAATATATATATATATGCAGTAGTAATTAATATGTTTAACAGGGAATAATTTCTACATTTAAAAATTTTTTTTCAGTTGCAATGATATTTTCATGGTAGTTGCGCAGTAAAAATTGAATATACAAAAAACAAAAGGGCAAGTCCATTCAGTACAAAACTAGCACTTCCAGTGGCAAACAGAGATTTGGTGATAATGTTCTCTCAAATAAAACATGCAAGTGCTGAATTAGACTGGTTTATTTATTTAAGGATGTTGTTATTTTTGTTGTTGTTGTTTGAGATGGATGATAGGATTGCATATATTCATTTTGAATGAATTTAGTTTTGTACGTTTTCTGTATTTTCCAAAGGAAAATGTTCTTTTGGGTGTTGGTGCTCATGGGAAATGGCACTTATTTGTGCAAGAGCATTTGCATGTGATTGTGTGTGCTATAAACATACACACAAATAATCTATTCTGTTACACATCATTTAAACTCCAGCCTGTTTAACTTATGCCCACCTTTATACTGGGGATAACAATAAAAAGGACTTGTTAAGGACGCTAGAAATTACAAAAACTGATCTGTAGCAAGGGCAGATCAAAGGACAACACACAGTATCCTACATCCTGTCACGTCTTGTAGATGCTTAAGTGTTAATACTGCCTGTGTCATATGTATACATCTCAAACAATTACACATTAACACAGGTGCACATACGTACATGTATGTAAAATTGACAGTATGACTAGGAACACATATTTTATTGCACTTTCTCATTAAGTAACAATTTGCATTTTAGGTCTCAGTGGCGTTGATAAGCCTATTTGAAACACTACTTCTTGGGTATCTCAGTTATAAGGTAAGTTACATTAATTAACAGTCCTCTGCTGAAGAACACACTGATAGCATTTACTAAATGTTCCTTTCCTTATAATTCATGCTTGGAGATACAGCAGACTCTTCCTAAACCACTTTAATTATTTTGAGCCTCTCCAGTATGTGATTAAAAGCTGTGGTAATATAGTAAGTTTTCCTTGGTGACTTAAAAGTGCTTCACTAGATCCTGTGAGTTTTCTCATCCATTACATGCATGCTAATGGTGAGGTGGGCAAGTGCAGTAGTCTGGCTCTTTATTGTTCTCAATCTCTTTTCCTAACCTTCACAAAACTTTTGAGAAAACCAAATTATTCCTTTAAAAAAGTGTCTTTAATCACTGGCAATGTTTTGTTTGGCTAACACAGTTCAATGAATAGTTATTGAGCTTTTGATCAGAGCTTCTTTTGATTGAGATCCTTCCTTTGTATGGCTCTTTTCTCAATGAATGTACAATCTACAAAGGGGTAGAACTATACAGATTAATTATAAGGCTTAATATGAGCAGTATTTTCTGTGAGGTGTAAATACAGTGCTGTGAGGGTTCATAGAAAGAGGTCATATCCTGGGATGCAAAGGAAATACTTGACTGACAAGCAGAGGCCTTGAATCATAATGATTTTAATAAGGCAGGATGAAATAGCATGGCAACTGGGGTCGATAGAATTAGCAAAGGTATAAAGAAAGGAATGTGCAAGTTCTCATGAACTGGAGAAACAGTAAATACTACAGCTTGCCTAGTGTGGTCGTCTTGTGTAACAACGTAACAATGGAAAGTTGAACAAAAAATCTGAATATAAGAGTTCTAAAATACAAAGCCAGTTTAGGAATATTAGTGCAGAACTGCAGTGATGGCCATGTGCTCAGTTATGGCATCTTACATTGCAGAAGGAAAACCAAGGATGGGTTTTTTGCTGGGTGAAATGAGTCCCCCGATTTGATGAAAGATTATGAAGGTAAAAGCTAAAGGAATCACTCATTTACTGAGATAGGCCAGGAAAAGGAAATCAAAATGCCATTTTAAAAGGTGTTCTGAGTCTGATTGGGAATGCTGTAGTAAACCTAAGAGAGAATAATATACAGAAAAATATCAGGTAGGAGTTGACATAGACAAGGTAATGGTATTGGTTTTGGAGATGGTGACTTTGAGTTCCTGATGAATAATCAGAGATACCTGACATGTAAACAATTGAAGCTGTGGTTCAGGAACTTTTAGGAGATGATTTATTAAGATTTGGCTGTGATTTTCACAGAGATGATAAAGGAAGTCATGGGAGTTTCATGAACAGGGTAATCACCGCTGCAGAAGCTAAGGCTCATGTTGACTCACATGCTTGTAGAAGCAGTTTAGCAATCAGGAAAGATGGAACTAAGCTAAGGGTTTAGAAACCAGTACCTTTCATTCACAGTTCTTTCATGTGTATCGACAAGTGTATTTGAAGTTATATTTTTGAGAAACATTTATCTAACATATCAGTTTCTTTTCTACCTTTTAAAACAGTGTTTGAGCATGCATTCTTCATTTTCAATCCTAAATGTATGCAAAAAGTTTTGACACAGTCACTGTTTTTTTGTCTTAACATTTTTCTTTTTAACTCTCATTTCTGTCATGTACAGATAGTAGCACCAATTTCTATTGCATTGGTATAATATTATACATGGAATTGTTAAGGTTGGTAAATAGAAAAGTGAGAAGGAATAGACTGACACTCTTACAAAACAGATTGATTGAATATTTTTGACAAGAAAAAATCTGTTAGAAATATCAAAGGAAGAAAAATGTGATGTAATTATGCTAACTATAGGAATGTAAGAAGGGTGAAAAAAGCTGGGTGTGGTGGCGCACGCCTGTAATCCCAGCACTCGGGAGGCCGAGGGTGGAAGATGGTTGCAAGTTTGAGACCAGCCTGGGCTACAAAGTGAGCTCAAGGCCAGCCTGAACTGCATAGCGAGACCCTGTCTCAAAAAGACAGAAAAAAAAAAAAAAAGATGGGTGAAATAAGCCATTGAGTTTAGAAATTGGAGATGGTTTTCCTTTCGCCTACATGAGACAAGTTAGTGGGAAACAACTGGGAGAACTTAACAACTCAATTGTTAAGGGGAGAATGTTGGTTCATTCACCAAGACAGGGGCTTCTCACAAGTAATAGAATGAAACAAGGATGGTTTTCTAATGATGGAAACCATTTGCACTGATACGAAGATACAGCAAAGGAGAAGATGTGATGGAAGACGCAAAGTTTATGAAAAGTAAAAATAACCTGGAATAGGAACCTGAAATTTAAGAACTAGCTTTGAAAGTCTTTCTTCTCTTCTGAGAGTATAGAAGATTGTAAGAGATAAAGGACTATTTTAAAATTAGTTTAGGAAAGTGAAAAATAAAGATCTTAGTAATCACACATATCAAATGGAAATCATACTAAAATTACTAAAAAGTACTAGTTCTTTTATGAGGTGTATAGACTTTAGAAAGAGTCTTTCAATGATTTATTGGCCTCTCTCTTTGTTAAAATATCTCCTCTTTGAAAACCTGGATTTTGGCTAGCTAACAAAATAAAACAAAGCAAAACAAAAAAATTAACTAACTTGAAATCCCAGAGTTTTACCTTAAAGTTTGTTAGCATGCAATATGTGATGAATGTTGAATATAATGTACACAAAGTAATATATTTTTAAAAAATCAGATGTGGATTTTTGAGTAAATGAGTTGTCTCTTTCACTAGTACTTTAGTATTTGCAGAACATAGCATGGCCAAAATATTAATCTTCATTTGTGAATGATTTGCTCCAAGTTTTAAAAGCAATGTGAAAGTAAGTTTTATGCTTTGCTAATAGAACTCTTATTGTTAATTTAAAAAGTCATTTATAAAACATACACAAATTCAAGATAATTTTCCAGTGCAATTATATGATGATGGATTTTATAATTAATTACTTCCTATCATTTATAAAATGAAAGCAGAATGTTATAAGCCTTAGCATGCAGGGCTGGATGATATAAAATATTTCCATTTCAACTCTCATGAACATTAATGACAATGGCGGAGAGGTAGATGGTGTAAAGTTCATTGAATTACAAATTAAACAGAAATGATGAGAAGGAGTTTTGTGACAGCAGCAGGACAAATTGCTGTTAATTATCTTCTTTCATAAATGTAAAAATTCCTGATATACTTTGACTCTTTCTATGGAGTGTTGGATAATGATTTGGAATTAATACATTAAATAATTGGTAAATATTAAGGGCATATAAATAAGGTAAAGTTTCAGAGCGGAATCTAAAATGTACTCTTCTTTAAGTTTTGGGGAAAAATAACAGGCTTGCAAGAATGAATATCACATTACTTTACCAGTTTTATGTTTCTTATATTGTTTTTCCTTACTGATAGTTTTTAAACACCAATCTTAGTGGTAGATTGATTTGTTTTCTTATATTTTGCATACACATGTAATGTATATATTTAATATTTTAAAATACATTGGTATAATATTATACATGAATTGTTTTTAAAGCATGGATTTCATAATTCTTGACATTAGACATTCTAAAATCATCATAACAACTTGGAAACCATTTAAATCTCTGGATACTGAGAATGAAATTTATGAAAACTTAAAGTTCCTGTGAAGTTTGCAGATAATGAATCCAATCCATGGCATCAACTAAGTTTATTTTCTGTGATATAGAATTGTAAGTCTGTGCTTAAATCCTCTTTTCACTCATGTTTATAGCTAGCTGGAAGAATGATCCCAGTAATTGCCCAGCACTAAATTTCCTATTCTTCTACCACCGTAAATACCCCTCTCATTGTTTACCAACTGCTTTCAAAATAAAGCTCTACCAGTACTCATGTATTTGGTTCATGGACTTATTTACTGTATTGAGAATCCACACTTTTACTTTGCCTCTCTCAAGCACCTTCTTTGGATTTTCCTATTTTTATAAGTTAAGAATTAATTTTTCAATCTAACCCACTCTCTTATTTTCAGAATATATCCTGATAGATGTTTAGCAGTACATGCTAAGAACTTCAGATGCAATTACCTGTCTTTCAGTCCTCTAATATTTTTCTTTGGAACAACAGTTCTTAACCCAGTACATTTTTATTAAGAAAAATAACTGAGAAACTTGGTAAAGAACAGAAAAGTCTGACTAGAGCTATGATGCAGGCGTTACTGTCTAGAGAGGACAGAAGAGATTGTAGCCTTCAAGACAGAAGGACCTGCTGGCACTGTGTTCTGTATCCTGCTAGTGGAGGGAAACATGGGCATGGGAGCAGCTCTGTCCCTAGTCTTTTGGGTCCCAGCTGTTTCTGTTACAGACTTCAAGATGATACGAGGGAAGCACACTGCTTGGGAATGTGATTTAGAAAGAAAAATAGGAAGACATGAAGTATGGTACAGAGACTAATAGACCTTGTGTTTCAGACATTTAGCCAATAAAGAATGAATATCTGGGGAAGTAAATTTAGGCTAAATATTTTGTAATGTTTTATTCTTCCTTTTCTCCACTCTAATTCAGTAGTTGGGCTTCTTGGCCTAATTTCCATGAAATCTCAATTTGGGTGTCATATTTGTTTTAACCTCACTCTTCTGCTAACAGAAATTAGGCAAAATTAAAGTATACAGGTTTTGTAAAAGGGGAAAAAGCAAACAAAAGACCAAAATAGAGCTCTATTTATGCACATGTATTCACTAAATTAAAGAGAAACAAAAGCCCTTCATAGTTTAAAAACCACTGCAAATAAAAATTCATCATACTTAAAAGGCTTTTGTTAAATCTCGAATTACTGTTCCCATAATCACATTAGGAAAAGCAAAGATTTTGAAAATTTACCATCACTGTAACTTATTTCAGGAAAACAACAGAAGATTTTGCCCAGGAATCTTAGATATGCCTAAGATTTCTGCTTACCATGCCCTGAAATGGGAAATGTAGATATTGTTGAGCTTATCTTTGATGCTCAGGGTTATTATATTTTACATT